TACCCGAACCAGACATCCTAAATCCTACTCAATAGTTTATTTTCCTTAATTCTTCCATCAGGGGATGAGGACTCAGATTATCTAGAGTCCTGCTGTGGTGCTATAGGATACATATTGGACTGCTATCCACAAGGTCTGTGGTTCAATCCCACCAGCTGCTCCTCAGAAACCCTACACAGAATTGTTATGAGTCACAACCAACTCAACAGCAAGTGGTTACGAATCGGGCTGCAAACCTCAAGGTCAGGAATTCGAAACTACCGGCTGTTACGCCGTGGGAGAAAGATGAGGCTTTCTGCTCCCATCAAGTATTACAGCCTTGGAAACCCTGTACAGGGTCGCTATGGGTCAGAACCGACTCGACAGCACTTAACAACAACATGGTAGTTTCTTCTTCATGATCTTCAGAGCCCAGATTCATATATTCCTTTAGTTGACAAATTATCTGTAGAGAGCCTACTGTGCACTACACACTGTTCTAGGCACCAGAGACACAGCGGTCTTTACTCTCAAAGAAGTTACATTCTAGTTGGAAGACACACACAAGCAAATATGTAAAACATCAGATGGTTTGGTAAGTGCTGGCAATAAAAATACAGCCAGGTAGTAAGTCATAAAATGAAGTCAGGGAAGGAAGGAGAAGAATCATTGAATCACAGATTGAAAGAAGTGAGGGAGAGAGAGCAATTAAACATCTGACAGGTGTTGGGACCAGTAAGTGCATAAACCCAACATGGGATGTGATGTATAAAACAAATTGCAAGGACACCAGTACTACTAGACTATCAGTGAAGGGCAGAATGGCAACTGATGAACAATAAGCTAGCTCATACAGGCTAAGCATCGCGGATGTTATTCTGCAATGGGAACATCTTGAAGAGTTCACTGACATAATGTGACATGCATTATATAAGAATAATTCTGATTCTTATGTAGGCATCAGCTAGTACAGAGGAGCAATAATTGGGCAGTAAGAAGTCAGGGACTACCTGCAGTTCCTTGTAACCAAAGTAATGAGGAAAAGCTGGTCAAATCAATGTTCAAAGTCTTAAAATGCTTATTTCCTTCTCATTACAAGAGCATGAGAGAATGATTGCTACCTTTATTTATTCTACTTTAACCACCTACTTTTCTTTGATTTCGCTATTATTTGATCTTTTCTCCAAATACACACATAGGCCCTAAAGGTATTTCTCTTCTTTCTGTCGTTTGCTCCTCGCACCCTCTGTGACTTATCACATTCTTGTAATACCAACACCCTTCTTTACACTCTTTGCTACAGTTAAGTTTATAGGCGGTGGCAGCAGCTTCTCCCGTTTTAGCAACAGTGACCCCGGAAACATCTGATAAAAACAGGATGCAATTTAAAAACAAAAAAACAGTTGGCAGTTCCCTTTCCCTGAAGAAATCCTCTCAATGAACCAAAATCGCTTCTCTGACACCAAAATCCACTGCCTAGAGTCGATTCCGTCTCATAAGGACCCTAAGTTGTTGTTGTTAAGTGCTGTCAAGTCGGTTCAGACCCTTAGCGACCCTATATAGGGTTTCCGAGGAGCATCTGGTGAGCTTGAACCGCAGACCTTGCAGTTAAAACCGACCCTGCAGTCTAGTGCATTAACTCACAGCGTCACACCAGGGCTCCCTATAGGCGCGGGTAAAACTCCAAGTTTTCAATGCTGCAAATTTTTATGGATGCAGACTATCTCACCAGTGTAGTTCACACCGCTGACCTTTCGGTTAGCAGCCCAACATTTAACCCGCCGCGCCAACAGGACTTCTTCCTCTACAGCCACGAGAAGGTAAATCAGGAGCCGCCTGCATAGAAAGAAACTGTTCTCTCTAGCCCTTTCCCGGAGTTCTCCGCCTGGCCCTTCATTCCGGCCGCCAAAGTTCAGCCCTAGTACGTTACCTTTCCTCTCAACACTGTCTTTATCTGCTTCTTCCAACTTAGAAGATGCGGTCCTGGCCACCAATTTCACCTTCTTCTTCTTCTTTAGGGAGTTTTTCAGCTTTTTCCCTGCATTCACACGTGAGTCCTGTATGGTCGCTGCCATTTTCCACTACCGGAAGCGTAACTAGTTCGTCCGGTGGCAACCAAAGAAAGTTGGTGTTATTAGTTCCGGTGACACAAGGTTCCAGAGAGAGTCGTCTACCCAGGTTCCCCGGCGGGAGTGTGGTTTGGAGAGAAAACTGAAAGTGAAGTTAGTTCCAGGACAACAGCTAGTGAATGCAAAGCCTTAGCCCATTATCTGCCACCTTGCTTTTGCCCAGATCCGTTACCCATTCCGGCCCCAATATGATCTCTAGACCGCTGCTTCCTTCAACAACTGCCGTATTTGATAGTGGTTTGGTGGGTTTCACAATGTTCCTTCCGTGCCTACTAAGCGGTCCAGCAGGTAGGAAGCGAGGAAAATGGGTTTGGGGTCCATAATTAGATTATGATAGTACCCAAACCCACGAATCGGGCAGCAAACCTCAAGGTCAGCAGTTTGAAACTTCCAGCTGTTCCGCGGGAGAAAGATGAGGCGTTCTGCTCCCGTAAAGATTTATAGCCTCGGAAACCCTGTACAGAGTCGCTGAGTCGGAACCAACTCCACTCCAGGCACATAACCACCACCACCACACCTACTTCACAACAGCGAACAACATACCCTCTCATCTGATCACCACCGCCCAAAATTCACAACATAACACTAAAGATCTCTTCTTAAAATGTTAATTAGATTTCCTTATGAGTAATCCTTTCAATGACTTCCAGCTGCAACCCGAATATAATTTCAGGTTTTTTTCCCCAGGGTCCCAGGTTTTATGGACTGCAGCCGCACACCTCTGTCCCCGCCTCCATTCCAGCGGTGCAGGGTTTATGGCGTCCCACGGAGCAGTGCCCACTGAGTGGCTGGTCTCCTTCCCAGGACAGCTTTTCCCTTAGGTCAGCCTCAGGGGAGTCCAAACCTTCACAGCATCTTCCATAACAGTACCCTTTTCAATCTCCCCACCCCTCCAATGTTGGGTCCTTGAGGGCAGGGACAGTATCTCATTCATCTGCTAACTATAAGATCAGCAGTTCAAGCCCACCAGCTGCGCTGCAGGAGAAGAATTTGGAGCTGAAAGCCCTGTGTGGTGTTGTAGAGTAAGCACTAGACTGCTAAAGGCAAGGTCAGCAGTTGAAACTGACTCTATGGCACTTAACAGCAATTGTAACCCCCAAGGCTGCCGTAGGATTTGGCCACTAGCAAGAGCCACTGGGTAAGGTCAATCTGTAGGATTGTGTTTCCATTCTATAGATGAGAGGAAAGCAAGTCACAGAGAGACAAATACTTGAGGGAGGCCACAGAAGCAGAATCACATTCACAGTAAAGCAGTTAGCACCAGTCTGCTCAACCACTACACACTGCCTCTCAAACTGTTAATACTTTATGTGTTGAGAATGTTGTTGTTGTCAGGTGCCATTGAGTCAGAATCGACTCATAGCGACCCCATGCACAGCAGAACAAAACAATGTCCAATCCTGGGCCAACCTCACTACCGCTGCCACACTTGTCGCCATCAATGATGCCACCTGGCCGATCCATCTCGTTGGGGGTCTTCCTCTTTTTCTCTGACGCTCCACCTTACCCAGCATGACATCCTTCTCCAGCGACTGTTCCCTCCTGACACTATGTCCAAAGTATGAGAGGCGAAGCTTAACCATCCTGGCCTCCAAGGAGCACTCTGGCTGCACTTCTTCCAAAACAGATCTATTAGTTCTTTTGGCAGTCCATGACACTTTTAGTATTCTCCTCCAACACCACAACTCAAAAGGCATCAATTCTTCTACAATCTTCCTTATTCACTGTCCAGCTTTCGCATGCATATGAGGTTATTGAAAATACCATGGCTTGGGTCAGGCGCACCTTAGTCCTCAAGCTGACATCTCCGCTCTTCAACACTTTAAAAAGTTCCTGTGCAGCAGATTTGCCCAATGCAATACGTCGTCTGATCTCTTGACTGCTGCTTCCGTGAGTGTTGATAGTTGATCCAAGAAGAATGAAGTCCTTGACAACTTCAATCTTTTCTCCCTTGATAAGAATGTTGTTTATTGGTCCAGTGATGAGGATTTTTGTTTTCTTGACATGGAGATGCAATCCATACCAAAGGCTGTGCTCTTTGATCTTCATCAGTAAATGTTTCAAGTCCTCTTCACTTTGAGCAAGCAAGGTTGTATCATCTGCATATCACAGGTTGTTAATGAGTCTTCCTCAAATTTCTGGCAAGCACTAGAATTCATAAACTGGGGTGAGGAGGGGGAGGGGGCCAACTCTGTTCTCTAAATTAACAGGATTCAAAGAGAATGTTCATTGCATGATAGTGTTAAAGACAATTTCAGTAAACATACCTGTGCTAGTTTTCCATTTATTGAATACAAACCAAAGCAAACTCATAAGCCATGGAGTGGATTCTGACTTACAGCCACCCTGTATAGGGTTTCCAAGGTGTGGCGCTGTAGGATAAGCACTCAACCGCAGAGTTGGTTTGTGAACTGAAAGGTGGTGGCTGGTGGCTGTGTTCCGACTCATAGCGACCCTGTACAGGGTTTCCAAAGCTGTAAATCTTTATGGGAGCAGAAAGCCTCATCTTTCTCCCATGGAACAGCTGGTAGTTTCGAACTGCTGCCCTTGAGGTTTGCAGCCCCATTTGTAATTGCTACGCTACTCACTAATTGTTCCTCGGAAACCCTAGACAGGGTGCCTATGAGTCAGAACCGATTTGACAGCATTTAACAACAACAATTTTTACAGGAGCAGAAAACCTTGTCTTTCTCCCTCGGAACAGCTGGTGGATTTGAACTACCAACCTAGTGCTTATCCTATGGCACCACACAGCTCCTAGCTCCAAATTCATCCTTCTTGGCTGCTCTATGAATATGGGACTAAGTCCTTTAAATATTTTTTTCATTGGTCAAATGGTAGGGTGACAAGCCGTGTCAGTAGAGGATACTCAAGAAATAATTGTAAGAGAAAGGGTCTTCTGCAGGTTCCAGTGTGCCCCCTTAGGATTTGCTGCAGCATCTCAAGTACCAAGGAGCCCCTGGTGGCACTGAAGGATTAGCAGTGAACTGCTAAGCTCAAGTTTGGCAGTTCAAACCCACCAGCTGCTCCAATGGAGAACCATGAGGCTTTCTGCTACCATAAACATTTACAGCATCAGAAACCTAATACAGAGTCCTTTGACCATAAGACTGCTTTGGAAAAGCTCATTTTCTTGCCCTGGATCTTGCATCTACCTGGTTCATTCCATTTAATGTCCAATTCATGTGATTTATTTGTTTTAAAAAGATCCCATTAAAAAGCAAAAAGAGAAACATTGCCATCAAGTCAATTCTGAGTCACGGTGACCCTGGACAGCAGAGCAGAATACACCCATAGGGTTTCCAAGGCTTTCTAGAAGTATACTACCATCACGTCTGTGTTCCTTAGAGTAGTAGCTGGTGGCTACTAACTTCTGACCTTTCAGTTGTTAGCACAGAGCTTTCAACCACTGTCACATCACAGCTTTATTAAGGGCGATGAAAACATTTGGAAATGGGTAGTGGTAAAGATTATGGTGGTGGTGATTGTGTGCCATGGAGTAGGTTCCAACTCATAGTGATCCTATATAGGGTTTCCAAGACTGTAAATCTTTATGGGAGCAGAAAGCCTCGTCTTTCTCCAGTGGAGCAGCTGGTCAGATTCGAACTGCTGACTTTGCAGTTAGCAGCCAAGTTTGTATCCACTACACTACCAGGGCTCTGTGGTAAAGATTGTGCACCATGGGAAACATAACTGTTGTAATTCAGTGCCCTCGAGTGAAGTCCAATATCACCAGCGCTCCAGTGAATATAGGTAATGCCACTGAAGTATACACAGAAAAATGATTTAAATGGCAAACTTTTTTTGTATACTTTTCCATAATGAAAAATTAACAAAATAAAATTTTTAATTACGAATGTTTAAACTTGTATAGTCATTTTTTACCAAAATGTCTAATCAGCAAACCATAACACAATTTTATTTTAACAAGAAAATGAGGAAGTTCCTAGAAAAATGAGCATCATTTTGATACTATGAAGAAAGCTAATTTGATAGGAAAAGAATATTGGCACAAATATTAGGAAATATGCTATCTAGTCCTATTTACATTCTGACTAGATATGAATAGTGGATACTGCTGGGCATGTGCCTACCCAGAATCCTTTCCTCCTTTCATATTTTCTCCCCTTTTCATTAGCTCCTTCTTTTAACACCTGTATGACCCACATATAGGAGTCCTGGTTAGGTCTGTCATTGAGTCATTGAGATGTGATCTAAAAGGGCAGTGGTTCAAACCCACTAGCTGTGAGGCTCCTTCCTTTCTGTTATTGAGTTAAATTGTCTATGTCAGTTTATAATAACTCAGGATTGTTGTTATTTACTTCCCCAAACCTCTGAATTTGATATTGTCTTAGTTTACTGTACTGTTGTAACAGAAATACCATAGGTGATGGTTCTAATGGACAGAAATGTATTTCCTCACTGTTCTGGAGGCTAAAAGTTCAAATCAGGGTCTCTGCGGGGGCTGGTCCTTCCTAGTCTGTGGCCCCGGGCTCCCTTGTTCTTGGGCCTCCTCTGGCATACATCTTCACACTAAGTGCTTCTGTCTGTGTCTACTCTGCTCTTCTCGTAATACAGAAGTAATTAGGTTTAGGGTTAGGACACACCCTACACGAATGCAACCATGGGGAATGTAGTTGTTGTTAAGTGCTGTCCAGTCCTTTCCGACAGGTGGTGCTGTGGGTTAATGCACTGGACTGCAAAGTCGGTTTGAACTGCAAGGTCGGCGGTTCAAGCTCACCAGCCGCTCCTTGGAAACTCCATGCAGGGTCACTATGGGTCAGAACCGACTCGACGGCACTTAACAACAACGTAACAACAAATCTTTACCATAGCAGAACACCTCCTCTTTCTTGGAAGAACAGCTAGTGAATTTGAACTGTTGACTTTGCCCAACACCACCAGCGCAGAAAGGAAACAAAAAAAAAACCAAAACCTACTTCCAA